AAAAAAAAAACACGCCCTCGCCCAAACAAAAAAAAATAACACCCGAAAAGCCCAAACAACAAAAAAGACCAGACAACAAAAAAAGAAACACTCTTACCACCGGCCAAATTAGAAAGCAGCTATCGCTGCAGTCATGACTTAGCATTTCCTTGAACCCTAATCCTTGGCCTAAACTCTGTTTTCGATATCCTGGACTTCAAGAGGCTCCTTTGAGATTTCAGACATTTTCTCTTCGCTCTACCAGCCCTTCCCCTTTAACAAATATTCCCCGAGATATGTTCATTATTTGGGATTTGACTTGTAGTGGATGCCTACCGCAGGTTTTGGTAAGGCAAGCAGCAACAATTGCATATCTGGACACCTGTACTGATGCTGCTGTTTGTGTGCTTGCTACTAGTCTCCGCTGGCGTCAACATCTTTTATACTTCTGATTATGAGGGCCTTTTTGCAACTGCACAAAGGGTGCCCAATGAGCAGAGTACTTTCCAAGAACCAGACTGTGCTTTGTCCTCCCGGGGCCAGAGGGGTCCAGTACAGACATGCCAGGGGGCCAGCAAACTTTCCCAGCTGGGTTCCTGCTTCAGAGGGTCATTGCGATCAATGGCTGTGAGTAGGAACTGAGCAATCCCTCGCCCGAGTATACTACACACTTCAAACATGCCTTACAGTGGCCCATCTGGTTCTGTTTTCACATTCATGTTATGCAGGCTATGCTTGCTGGTTGTTAGCAAGGAATGGAGGAGTGGATTCCTGCAGAACCCCCCAGGTAATCCCAAAATGTGGCAGTTTCAAGCTTCTTTTCGATTCCCTGCAGCCTAAACCTCCAGCGGCCGCAACGGCGCAAAACCCTAAATGGCAGTTTCCATTTTTCCGTTCCTTAATGCCTCACTAGCGTAACTAGTGAAGGATGCAGTGATCCTAGCGGCTGACACCCGAGCAACCAACGGGCCCATGGTCGCAGACAAGAACTGCGAGAAGCTCCTCGCCGAGATAGGGGGCTTTGGGGGGACCCTTTAAGGGAGGCTATATGAACTGTAGTCTAAGGTCCCCAGAATAAGGAGAATAGTATTTGGGGGTCTATGTTGGGGTCGCCCTTATGTATGGAAATTACAAGTTTGGGAGCAGTGAAGATCAAACATGGACTCGGTGGTAAGTTGTGATCTTGCTCTTTTTTTGTTGTAATCGCTTTTGACTAAGCGGGTGCCGCTTCATCTAGAACTTTCATGGTTAGCAACCCTGAAACCCTGTCTCCTAGTTTCCTGTGCTCTCAGGGTTTATGGCTCAAGGTTTAGGCTTCAAGGTTTTGTCGATGCAAGCCTGTTGCAAAAGGCTTCAAGGTTTTTATGCATTCTGAAGATCATCTGGGTTCGGGAGAGGAAGGATTGTAAACCCCAATCCCCAAACCCTAAGCCCTATCCTGTTATTGGGGTACGTGAGCATCTTATAAGGGATTTGTTCGAATCATCTCTCCTAGCAGTCAAAACCCCCCCATTTCCCTACTACAGGAGCTATAGTCCAAGCTCCTTCAAGCGGGGTTATATAGGGGATTACGCAGGGGAGTATTTCAAGTTAGTAAGGGGGATACTAGTAGTTTAGACTATAGCTCATATAGTGGCAGTGTTTAGAGCATTTTCGCTTTGGGTATCGAGGGCGGGGAGGGGCATCGCCTCTTAACGAAGCCCTAAACCCCCTAACCCTAAACCTTAAACCCTAACCCTCATCCTGAAAGGTTGTCCCAGACTTGGCTCAGATGGGGAAGTGAACAGGGGGACTATTTTTGTCAGGGTTTCGGGCTCAGGGAAAAGGGTTTGGGGTTTAGGGTTAAGGGTTCAGGCAAAAGGGTTTAGAGGATTAGGAGTATGCATCTGCTTCCTCGCTGAAGTGCAAGTATGATGAAATTCTTTGTGCTTCTCTTGTAGCCCCCCTAAACCCTAAACCCTGAACCCTTTTCAGAAGTTCTCCCAACCCGGTCGGCAGTTCTGTGTAGCCTGCTTCAGATCTTGTCCCTGAGCCTTCAGAGAGGGTACCCCAGGGACCTGCCCACAAACAACCGTTTAGGGGATAGGAGCCTGTGAACTTCCCAAAATGCCCTATGAAACCCTAAACACTAAACCCCCTGGAAAGGCTTCACTACATCGCAAAGAACATCTACTGTGCGGGCGCCGGCACCGCAGCGGACTTGCAGCACACCACGGAGACTTGGGGTTCAGGGTTTTGAGCTCTGCTACGTAGGGTTTTGATGGGGCTTCAGAGTTATGCAGGTAGGGGTATATGGTATCTAGGGGTACATAGGCAAAACCAAAGTTATGATGAACAACTGAGAATCGAATGGAACAGAAAACAGTCATCCCAGGCACATATAAGTACATACAAGAGGGTAAATAGGGCACATGTAGGTTTATATAGGATATAGGGAGATGTACGGGCTGTATATTGCGATTTGCGTGGGTGGTATACGGACTTGGGCGTGCAATGTTGCTACGGGGAGTTGGGGAAGCGAATAATGGAGTACCAAATGGAAAAGAGACCAAAACATGAAGTGGGAATTGGGCCTGTTGAGTGGTTTAAAGGGCTTAGAAAACCCTACATTATAAGCAGTTGGTATCCTGTAGTCCCTCAAAACGATCATATTGCCAAACTGGGTTATGGGGGGATGTAGGGTTTTGGGATTAAGGATGCGATTTAGGGCCTCGAAAAGCATATTATGAGCAGTGGACATAGAGTTCCTGACAGACATGTGTATAGCACCTGCCATGTTCTAGAGATGTCGTGTTTACAAGACATTGAAGAAGCTGGCTGCATTGACCCGTTGGCCTGAATCGTGGGTCTCTACTGCAGCTCTACTCTAGAGGGATTTCGGGAAGCTTCGGAAACCTTAAACCCTAAACCCTTTGGTAATTTTGTAAATTGTCCCTAACATACTCCCTCATAGGAACACATGTCCGCTGGCTATAAAAGAAGTGTTTGACTACCGGCTCATTGGGGTTTAGGGTTTCCAGATGAGGTGGGCAACTTTCTGGTTCTTGGTAGAGAAAATGGGAATACATTATATATGCATTGTGTGGGGATTTAATTCCATTATTTCCAACTAACAACCAGAAAGTCTTGCGCTTTTCAGGGCATGCTTAGTGTCTCGTTGGGATTAAATGGCCTTCACGGCCGCCTTCCCTCAGATGTCCATAGCACCCTAAAGCGGAAACTTCAAGCCCTACACTCTGCAACCCCTCTGACCTGACTTCCCCTTAAAAGTGCATTCACCTGACTGACTTCATGATGAACTCAGGAAATGATGGAGTCGCAGCTGGGCCATTGTTGGGTCAGGCTTGTGGAATTTCAGGATTTTGCCCCCGACAATACTAGCACCTGCCGTTATAATCGCGTAGCAGCCTTGATGAAAGTGATCCTTGAACCTTTCACAGTTTACAGGAGCCCGGTTGAGGGAGCAGTTTTTATTTTCCGAAGCCTCAACCCTCACAACGCATGTCAGATTTGCAAGGGCTACCAGGGCCCGGATGGTTTCGTACCGGCTTGGTAGACCAAACAGTCGTTAATGCTCCCACAAGGTAGTTTCCCAAAATGGGGGGACCCCAATATAGACCCCAAAATATTATAATCCTTAATATAGGGGCCCCCAAAATGGTACCCCTAATTTTGGGAAACCCCCACAAAACTTGGCAGCGCAAAAACCCTAAACATGACCGGCTTGGGGTCCTGTGCTACGCCCTTTTCGGTTTGACACGTGATACCCCTCGTTTCCGGAAAACCTAACCCCTATAAGTCCCGATATACCCCTACCTATTTAGGAAAAAATGTATCTCCCCTATATACCACCGTATACTCATATCACCTCTATCCTTACTGTTTGGAAGCCAACCGTACGCCTGTATCCTACACCCTACTAAGGCTTTAGCCTGAAGCCCCAAACCTTAAACCTAAGCCCTACTACAGCTTAAACCCTAGACCTCTAAAACCTGAACCCTAAACCCTGAACCCTAAACCCCCCAAACCCTAAACCCCTATATCCTCCCTAAAACCTTACTACATCCTAAACCCTAAACCCTGAATTAAAATCCTACACCCAGGCAGATTGAGCTGCTGCGCATGGCCACAGGTACTCAGCCGCGAGTCTGCACGGCCGCGGGGCTTTGTTGAGTTACGCTGTGCTTAGGGCTTAGGGTTCCCAATTTAGAGTATGTATGTGTATATATATATATATTTATATTTATATTTACATAGGGGTTATACAGGGATAATGGAGAAGAAAACGGAAACTACTGTAATTAACGGGTTCTAGGGTTCTAGGGTTTAGGGTTCGGGGGTAAGGGTTCAGGGTTTGGGGTTCAGGGTTTAAGGTAAGGGTTCGGGGTTGTGGGTTCAGGGCCGGTTGGTTGTGTGCAGAAGGGCATCAGGGAATTTCTGTATAGAGCGTGCTTGGCATGAAGGAGGCAGGACAAGGGACTAGACTTGTGGTTTAGGGGTTTATAGGGACTCTAGGCCTTGACGAAGTCATGTTGAGAGTGTTGTCGTGCTGAGCACCACCCTAGTCGTAAGACGCTTTCAGCCAGGTCGTGAAACGATTGAGCTCGATGCTCTTCAAGTACCAGGGCTACATCGGATGTGCCTTAGTCCTAGGAGGATTTGATGTCACTGGGCCGCACCTGTACCAGATCTACCCCCACGGATCCACAGACAAGCTTCCATTCACCACGATGGGCAGTGGTTCCTTAGCCGCGATGGCGATCATGGAAGCCGAGTACAACGAGAATATGAGCATCGAGGAGGGCAAGAAACTAGTAGCCAAAGCAATTCGCTCAGGCATCTTCAATGACCTGGGGTCCGGAGGCAATGTCGACGTGTGTGTGATCACCAAGGATGCAGGCGGCAACATTCTGAGGAACTACGAGAAGCCGAACGAGAGAAAGTTCCGCGCTCAGCACAAGGCCTTCCCCAAGGGCACCACGCCTGTGATCAAAGAGACGATCATGAAGCTTGTGTCGGTTGAGACGGACGTCGTCATGCGGGACTGAGCAAGTTAATCACTTGCAAGAGCACTTTCATTGCCAAGGACGTTTTGTAGGTGCTTTTTGGTAGCAGCTTGCTGCCAAAGTCAGCGGGAGAATGCTTCGTACAGGATTGACCGCGCCTCACTATGATGCCGAACAGGGCCAGAACATGTCACTTCCCAAACTCCTGGCAAAAAAGAGGTGCGAAGTATTCTTCGCTTTTTGTCGCGCAGCATGGAGTTGAGGTTGGCTGTTGCTTGTCGCTTTATTTTCGTTTGATGGAGCTCCAGCAACTTGAGGTGAAGTACTTCGCCAGCAAGGTTGGTTGCATGCATCTTGTGGGTTGTGAAATTTCCAAGACTTGAGGGTTTCTCTAACTGTGGTTATCCGAGGGACGCTAGGGATGCCTGGGGAATCTCATTGTTTTTTGCTAGGAGGGGACCGGAGGGGGGGGGGGGGCGGNNATTGTTAGGGGGAGGTGATTACGAAGGGTGCCAGCCCCTTGTATGCCACACATGCTGATACTGAATCCTCACGGTGTTGGTGTTTATGTGGTTGAAATGCCCCTCAAAGCAGTCAAGCAACATAGCTATAGTCCAAACTCCTGAAA